TTCATTAACCAAAGGTAAGTATGCAATCTCTTATATAAACATAAAAACTAATATGCGCCTTCGCCGCTAGTTTTAAAACTTTGTTTCATAATCAGATCAAAGATGCCCGAATAACGGCTGTTTTTATTTCTGGCCATATTACTATATCTCTGTCACCCATGTATCATTTTCATTGATATTTAGTATGTCATTAATGGATACATGTACATGTCAATTCAATTTGCAATTTGATCAAATATGGCCGACTGGTGGCCATCTTGTTTGTTTAAAATGTGATAACTTGGACATTCTTTCACTTGTGATCTCCTTTTTTCTTTGCTATGTCTTAAACCAGAGGGGTTGTCAAGAAACACGTGTTCGGATTTAATGTAAATAAACAATCTGTTGTATATGCCACTTGGGACACACTCGCGACAACCCCTCCACTTTAATATGACGAGCACAAAGAGAACTTTCAAAAATTTAACAGGGACTGTGTCATTTTAAATGACTTGTTTAACTTTAAACATGATCAAAATTATTAAATGTAAGTGAAACATAAAATTACTTAACACACTCTCCCAACTTCGAGCCTTTGCTCGAATAGCCCCAGCTTCCACTTTGTATGAAGTCATAGAACTTGGCCACTAGACATCATTTTACTCTTCCAAGTAATCAAATTGGAGGGTCTGTTTGGACTATTGTGAATATGGTGTGACCAAGTATTGAAAACTAGGCTTCAACAGTGGTCTGAGAAGACTGTGAAAATGTTAAATACTTCTCCTACACGTTATTTATGTTACTAATCTAAGTTTTTTTTGGCCGAAATTGATACCAACAGACCTTAAATTTTTATTCAATTGTAATTCACTGCCACACCTACAAAGATGCTGTTGCTGTTGCAAGTGAAATCCTCGTTCCAGCTGAAATTGGCAGTTTTCACACTTTGCCTAATGTATGCGGTGAACATCGTCAACTTGGCACAATGTTGTAAATCATCCTAATACTTTTGTCTATTCCTCAGGTCGTTTTACGCTTCACGTTGATGTCCATATGGAAGATCAGTATATATATTTCGCTGATTTCAATGCAGCTAATAGAAATGCAAATGGTATCCAACGAATTAAACCAGATGGCAGTCGGCTGAGGAATCTTATAACAACCGGTATTGGCAAAAATGGTATCCGCGGACTGACTGTTGATTGGATAGCAGGTACGTCACATTGAAATATTTCTGTGATTAGTTTAATATCTGTATTAAAATTCCCATAATACATTGCACTTGCTATTTGTTACCTCCTGTTTGGTCAAAAAACGAAAACAAGGATGTTTTTTTGACATTTTTTTATTACTCGTAAACAAAAAATAATGAACTTAAGTAAATAAATACAAAAATTAACAGTAATTTACAACAAAAATAGTAAAAAAAAAAAACATAAATGAAGACAGATTACAAAGTATATATAAAGTTTGTGAATTGTATGATGCACAAACCAACATTAGGTAAAGTTTTCCCACTTCACCTGAAACAATTCAAAAGTGTCATTAGTCCCTGTTCGGACGCAGTCCAAAAATGGGGACTTATGTTTTGACCTCTATGTGTGTGTCCGTCCATGCGTGCGTGCGTGTGTGTGTGTGTGCGTGCGTCCAGACTTGTATCTTAGAAATGCCTGGACCAATCACAATCAAACTTCACACATACATCATACATGATATTATACATATGCACGTCAATTTGTTTCACGGTCTGATTTAAGATGGCCGAATGGCGGCCATTTGTGTGCTAAAAATCATCAAAATCAAGCATTTCTCGGCTGTTTACAGATGGATTTTGTACAAACTTGGTATATACATTAGACATTATGGGACCTTGATGCAAATAATTTTGTTTTTCAGATAAAATTCAAAATGGTCGACTGGCGGCCATTTTGTTTTAATGAATGTGGTTCTCGTGCCATATCTCCAACTTGTTTTGACTGATTATATTCAAATTTTAAATATTTATTGTACATGTCATAGATAAACAGATATATTGGTTTGACGATCTTATTCAAAATGACCGAATGATGGTCATTTTTGTGCTAAAAAATCATCAAATATCAAGCATTTCTGGCATTTATGAATGGATTTCGTTCAAACTTGGTACATATATTAGACATTATGTGTTCCTGATGCACATCATTTTATTTTTCAGATTGGATTCTGGCGGCTTCTAGAGCCATATCTCCTAAATGCTTTGACTGATTATATTCAAATTTTATATATTCGTTATACATCATGTTATATATATACATGTATTCAAAATGGCTGATTTTGAATGCTGTTCCAGAGCAATATCTCTCAATATGGACAAGTACTTGTTTGACGATCAGACACAAATTTTAATGTTAAAAAATCATATTGCTGACATGGTTATATTCCAGCTATATTACTATAAACAAAACTATATATCTTAAATTTGATAACTAACGGGGACTGTGCCATGCATGGCTTTTACTACATATACATTATTTCATTTCTTTTGTTTCTATAACTTTTTTTTTCCACTAGACGAAATGAAGATGAAGTGCCACTTAATTTACAGAAATGTATCATATTGTAGATTCACTTTGGTGTTTGTATCCATCTGTGTCTGTGTGCCTGCTCCTGTAGTTGGACATTGGCTAGACTTTCACACATACACCTTGGGATACAAGTGCACCTTCATTTGCTTTACAATAAGATTCAAGATGGCTGAATACTTGTAGCGGCCATTTCAATGTATGGAAATCAAGCATCCTTGTAGTCCTTGGTTGTTGAACATTATTGGGACCTACCTTGATCCCGTTATTTTCTTTTTCAAATCAAATTCTAAATGGCCAACATTCAGCCATTTCATTTCAAAGAAACGCACACTGGTATACAAGCTTTTTTTTTTTTACTTTACTCTATAGTTACTCAACAATCATTTTTATCTCTTCTGTGTGCCCACCTTGTGTTCATGTGACACAACCTATTATTATCTTAGTATTTAATAGTAGATTTTTTCAAATGCTAAGGCTGTAGTAAGAACACAACTAATGATTCGAACAAATAAATATTCTTTATTTCTTTTTCTTCAACAGGAAACCTTTATTTCACAAATGCTTTTGAATCTGAAACTTATATTGAAGTATGTAGACTTGATGGCTCTTATAGACTGGTGTTGCTTAAAACGGTTGAAGACTTACCAAGGGCTATCGCAGTCAACCCTGTCAAAAAGTATGGCCGTGTATCATTTATCATTTCATTAAACTTTTTTTCTTGTTTTTTGACTCCCA